TAGGTAAGCTCGAGACTGGGAGCGCTCATCAACTAGACCTTGTTCAAATGGCTCGGTCAATGCCAGCCACAGTTCCAGTCAAGGGGCGCAAGGACTCAAAGACACCACAGAGTGGAGGATTCTCCCTGCCGTCCTGGCTTTGGGTCTACAGACCCAGTCGAGGGCACACTGGACTTTAATTATCCAGATAAATAAGACTCCCCCAACAGTACCGATCAGTGGTTCAATTAATTGAAACATAGCATTTTTTTTTTTAAACACACCTACACACCCACACTCTTAATTGGTTCTTCAACTAGGATTCTGGTTTCAGGATATCTGTGAACCCTATAAAATTGAAGCATAAATTATTCTGCGTGTAAACTTTTGTGGAAGGAAGGTAACATACCTTCTTAACAAACTGCAAAGGGGTCTGTGATTAAATAAGAGAAATAAATACTCATTTCCTCGACTGTTGTGTGAAAATGCGGTCTCACGGTGCCACCCTAAATGCGCGATGATGGCTCACCTCGTTCCTTGTCTTCCCCCCTCAACTTCCTTCTTAAAGGTTTTCGTTAACTGCATAACTCATATGCAGCATCTGACACACAATTAATTCTTAAAATCTATGACAGGAAATTCAAACTCAATTTGAAGATATTATGCTAATTATTACTTCAACTTGGGGTTGTAGAGTCTATCTATTTGTACCATTTGACTACTTCTGCAGAATAGTCTGAAAATTTAGTTATAGCTTTTGATGAGATCCTCTGCCAATGACTTCTTAAAAATTTTTAAAATTAAAACTTGGGTACTTGCATATGTCCAAACTTGTCAAAATGTACACATTAAATACATGCAATTCTTTGTTTATTAATTATACCTCATAAAACTTTTTTTTTTTAAAAGAAACTCAAATAGAGGAAACAAAATTTATGACTGAGAATACATCAGATAACTAAAAATAGGGCTTTATTGATTTAAATTATAGCATCAGAAACATGAGCTCTGAAAAAAAGCCCCAATAACTTTGATGTTAAAATAGCAATGGACATTTATGAAAAATGAAATGTAAAAATAACTTTTCTTAAATAAATGATGGGCGGCAGTGCTTGAAAGTGAGAATCTCAGCTACACTATCTGGACTGATGAAAACATGAACACCGAACTTTATCTGAGCTGGTTCTCACACTGCTGGTTTTCCCGAGCGTCTGGGATGGAGAGAGTCTGTAACTTCGCAGGCCCCCGGCACAGGCACTCAAAGCGTGCGTGAAATCAGCTCTCCTTCTTGCATCCAGAGGTAGGGAGCAGAGATTTACTCCAACGTCCCCCTTTCTTCGGAACCAAGGTTTCCATACTTGGATGCATATTAGAAAAATACTAGAAAATTCTCGATGCTCGGGCCACTCCCAGACCAATTAAATCACAATAGTGGGGGCAGGTCCCAGGCTCTGGCATTTTATTAAGTGTCCCAGATGACGCCAACGTGTGGCCAGGGTTGAAGACCACAGCTGTAGCACAACACATACATAATTATTTGGGGATCAAATTCATGCTAGGCTCTTCCTTTGCTTCAGAATGCTGTAAAGGCTGCCAAGGTGTCACTGTTTGCATGTATCAACACAATTCAGGTCATCTGCAGATAACCATCTATATCTTTTTATTAGGGCGGATTTATTAAAAATAAAAGGGGCTGCATGCTGTTGAATCCTGGAACAGAATAAGCCATTCGTGGGAAAACTGGTGACACTGGAATGAAGTCCATAGTTTAGTACCAATAATATGATAATATAGTATCGGTGTTAATTAACGTAGTTTGTAATATATCAGCATTAAGGGAAGCTGGGTGAAGGGTACATGGAGACTGATTCCCTACTACCTGTGCAACCCTCCTGTAAGTCTAATTATTTCAAAATAAACAAGTTTAAAAATTAAAAAAAGAGAAGGCGGAGCTCGTGGTAGCATCACAGATTAGTTAACAATATCAGATATCGTTAATATTGGGCATAAAGTCCTGCACTGGAGACTCAGACGCTTTATTAATGAACACAGCTCACGGGGCGAGAGAAGCTTAGAGAAATCTCCAGTTTCCTGGCTCTATGTATCTTCTTCAGGCCCCTCCAGAGCCTACAAACTGTCATCATCAGCAGTTAATCCTGAAAGCCTCACGGCCAACACACGACCTCAAAGTCATAGATTCTACCGTAAGAAATCATAATGCCGCTGGTAACACCCTCCGCTTGTACAGTGTTTTACAGTTTATAAAACTTTCCAAGTGTTTGTCTCATTTGATTTGCATGCGGAAATAGGCAATACGTAGGGTCTATACCATGGGCTGGAATAAAGGATGAAACTTCTGCATTTCCTATAAAATATGCAGTGCAGCACCTGCAGAAATCACTCACATGCACACACACACACTACATGTCATGGCACATCCGCACGATCTGAAAACACGAAAAGACCCTCTGCTACTGTTCAGGGGCACATGTCATCAGGCTCGTGCTCACCGACATATGGTCACCAGCCCAGACTTAGTTACACCCACAGGCACCACTTCTGGTGGCAGCTTCTGTTCTTCACTGTTTTCCCAGGAAAAGGAAAGAAGTTCAGGCTACCAAAGAGGCCACCAGCGAACGTCTGTGGGGCCCAGGTGCTGTCAGGCCATGAGTCTGCCCTGAGTCATGGCCATGCCCTTTGTTTCTGTCCCCTGCCCAGTCCCTCGGAGGCCCCTGTGCTTCATTTCCTGGGGGCCCCAGATGTTCACCGTTTCCCCTCATGACTCAGGCCCACCTGCTGGTTCTTTTGCAGGAACTGTCTGCCAGCTAGGGTGAGCTGCTGCCCACCCACCACTCCCACCGTCTCTGGAGGAACCCTCCCTCCCAGACTGGGTGCAGGACATGGGGGTGGCCATGCCGTGGACGGTGCCAGGAGATGGCTCACATCCTCTTTGTCACCGCCTCCCACAGAGCCCTCCATGTCGCCAATTCCACTCCAGGGCGTGGGACGGGGTCCTCCAGCCTGGCCTCAGACACACGTGCGTGCACACACTATGCTGACCAGCCCAGGGAACCGGGCAGCTCAGAGCCTCGATGGGACAAGTGGACAGCATGGGGTGCCCTGCTGTCCCTTCTGTGATGTGTGATTTCTGCTCTCATCTCTC